TAATCAACTCAAAATTACTCCCAAAACAGTACCTTGGTTCATGGGAGAGAGGTGTTGGGCGGATTCCCCTTGATATACAAGCCCTAGCTCAAAGAAATGACTTATTTCTCTTTCTACCCGGTCTTGGGGTATTTAATGGGTTTCTACGTGCGCGGCCGCGGATTTGGCCGCGCATCTGGTCGCGCATATGACACAAGTCTAGTAAAATGGCCATAACTTTCTGTATACATATCCAAATGACGAACGGTTTGATGCGTTGGAAACTCAATTCAAAGGGCTTTAATTTGATAGGTTATAAACTATATAACTATTCATATCTTGAGAGTTATGCTTGTTTGAAGTTAGATCTTGTGCAAACTCACTTGAAATTTTATCCCATCATATAATTTTCAACTTGGATCCCATAAGCATAAATAAGCCAGAGATCATTCCCCTAAACCCTATGTTTCGGACAACACAAAACAAATTGGGACCACATGCAATGAGAAATTGACTAAACAAAGGCATCGAAGCATGGAAGAAACAAGTGAATATTCTTAATTAAAAATATTCTTCAAAAGCAACAAGAGTTGACAGATTCAAGAAAATCCTAAACATATATTATTCACAAAAAGCATTAGAATCTTACTTGAATGAGAGACAATATTGTATTTTAACTTCAGTCCTTCAGCTTTAACGAATATTTTAGTACACAATCTCTAGAAAGTGGCAGACATTTTTGGGATTTTGAAATCACCTAAAGGGGAGAAAAGACGATGGCTGAGAAATAAGGGTTAGAGTTAGGTAAAATTCGTGTTTTCTTAGTTTGTGGGTCAGAGCGAATCGGCTTTTCGGGGTGGGTATGGTTAACTTGGTTTGGATGTGTAATGTGGTCCCTTGTTTCAAAATAGACCAATGAAAGTTTGCCACGTAATTAGTCATTAACTTTTTTTAAAAATGATCAGCCGTTAGTCAGAGTGGTATGTAAGGGATACCAATAACGCAATAGGTGGAAGAAGGATATTTTTAACCCTGAAACTATAGTTCACGGTCAGTTCTGGCCCTTTTTCGTCTTTTTAATTCAAGTTGACCATTAATCATAAGGGTAGAAATGTGCCGAAAAGATAATGTTGGGGCCACTTTTAGACCGATAGATGGACAAAGAGTATATTTAGTCATTGACCAATAGTTCAAAGGAAGTCGTGATGACTCGATAGGTCATTTGTAGTATTACCATTCATTTTTGCATTTTAAGACCTTGAATAACTCCGTTTAGCATTCATCAATTTGCGTGCGCAGTGTGTGTCCTTTTTTCGGAAGATTTTTATGAGAAAATTGATAAAAATGTGAAATCGTACCTTAAAACTCATTTGAGTTGACTACAATTAATATTTTATGCAAACGGACCCAGATCAGTATTTTAATAGTCCTGATGGGTCCGTATCGTGATTTGGAACTCGGGCATATGCCCGAAATCAAATTCGGAAGTCCCTAACTTGATTTATCATAATTTGTTGAAAACTAAAAGTTTAAAAGTTTAAGGAATTCACAAGTTTAACCGTATTTTGACTTTGTTTCTGCCGGGTTCAAACTTCGATTCCGGAACTTAGTGTAGGTTCATTTCAGTATTTATGACTTGTCTGCAAAATTTGGTGCAAAACGGAGTTGATTTGACGTGATTCGGACGCCCGATTGAGAAATTGCATGTTCTTATGTTTCATTGAAAATTTCATTCGTTTTGGTGTCCGATTCGTAGTTCTAGGCGTTATTTTGGTGTTTTGATCGCACAAGCGAGTTCATATGATGTAGTTTACACTTGTGTGTATGTTTGGTTAGGAGCCCGAGGGGCTCGGGTGAGTTTCGGATAGTCTACTGACCATTTTGAACTTAGAATTTCTAGTTTTCTTGAGTGTGCTGTCACCTGATGCTTTATGCTTCGCAATCGCGAAGGGGAAACTAGGGTTGGGTGGTTTTCTTCATTGCGAACGCGATAGTTGGGTCGCGAACGCAAAGCAATGGGGGATTTACCCTTCGCGAACGCGACCAGCTTCTCGCGAACGCGGAAGGCTATGGACCTGGGAGGGGGTACTAGGCTTATGTTCTACGCGAACACAACCATTAGGTCGCGAGCGCAATGGCCAGGGGGAGAGCCATCGCTAATGCAGATGACATCTCGCGAACGTGAAGGCCAATTGGGCCGCTGTGCATCGCGAACGCAAAGAAGGCATGACGCACAGACCTTAAATGATTTCAAACACGGGATTTCATCCATTTTTCACCATCCTTTCATTACAGCTCGACCTAAAGGAGATTTGGAGGAGAAACTTCATCACCCTTTCATAGGTTAGTATACTCTAACTTGTTTTCTTCTATTTTCATCATCACCCACTAATTTCTAACCTTAATCTATGTTCTTATATGGTAGAAAATTAGGAATTTGGGAAGAATTGGAGGGTTTTGTAAAATATGATTTAGACCTCAAATTGAGGTAAAATTTTGAAACTATTTATATAATCGGGCTCGGGGGTGAATGGGTAATCGGGTTTTGGTCCGAATCTCGTATTTTGACCAAGTGGGCCAGGGGTTGACTTTTTGAGAAAAGTATAAAGATCTTAACTTTATGTATTGTAATTGATTTCCCTAACATTATTTGATGTTATTGAGTCGATTTTGGTTAGATTCGATTGGTTTGGAGGCGGATTTTAGATGAAAGGCCCCGATTGAGCTTTGATTTGCTTGCGGAGCGAGGTAAGTGTTGGGTCTAACCTTGATTTGAGAGAATAGGAACCGTTGAGCTATGTGAATTTCATGTGTAGTGGCGTATATGCGAGGTGACAAGTGTATATACGCCGTCAATTACTTGTATCCATGCCTACCCGTATTTAATTAATTATTTTATTCCATGTCTTAATTGTTACATGCTTTAATTGCTTCCTATGCCTTAACTTGCTACTTGTAATTTATTATTCTCGCATTAAAAATGTTAATTTCTTCCATGCTTCCATGATTAATTGCTACTTGCCTTGATTGTCTTACTTGTACACTTTAATTGTCATATATTTGGCTTGTCTTGTTGCTCAATATTAATTGTAGCATTTCTTGACTTGATACGAGATTCTTTTATAGTTTTGCTTTCATATTCGTTAATCGTAGAGATTCTTGTGATTCAAGTTGTTAAATTAATTGTACTTATTAATTTTATTTATGGATCGGGTTGCACGCCGTAACAGGTGAAATAAGGGAGGATTGATATTGATATGGTGGGATCGGGTTGTACACTGCAACATGTGAAATAAGGGAGGATTGATAAGGTGAATAAGGGATGATTATGATATTGATTCTGATTATATGGTGGGATCGGGTTGCGCGACGCAACGGATTTTACTTGTTATTATTGTTATTGACATGGTGAAATAAGGGAGAACCGTATTTGTACGGTGGGATCGGGTTGTGCGCCACAACGGTTTATGTGTTTTGTATTCCTTGTTGTATTGTGTTGGCTTCGGTGTTTTCTTACGAGATTCTGAGGATTAACATTTCTGGTTTTACTAATTTTCGAGGATTGAGTTTATTTTCATAAGTTAACTGCCTTATTTTCCGTATTCCTTTCGTGTCATTATTACTATACTGCGTACATGTTATTGTAAGTGACTCGCCTTAGCCTCGTCACTACTTCGTCGAGGTTAGGCTCGACACTTACAAAGTACATGAGGAGGTTGTACTCATACTACACTTTGCACTTCTTGTGCAAACTTTGGAGTCGGTCCCAGCGACGGTCAGTAGATTGCTCGGATCGGACATCTAATGGAGACTTGAGGTACAGCTGCTCGGCGTTCGCAGCCCTGAAGTCCCCTTCTACTTTATCCTAGTTGTTTATTTCTTTTCAGACAATTTTACTTTCATTCAGATCATTATCTGTATTATTCTAGTCGCTCGTGCACTTATGACACCAGATTTGGGGTTGTATCTAGATATTGCGGTTGTTATGACTTTTCGCACTTTATTTTAGTTCTATTTCAGTTATTTCGTTTAATTGGTATCAATTAATTTGTTTTGTTAAAAATGGCTAAAAATTATTCTAACGCTGGTTTGCCTAGCAAGTGAAATGTTAGGCGCCATCACGGTCCCAAGGGTGGGGATTCCAGGTCGTGACAACAGTTTTGACCATTTTCTATTTTATCAAAGACAGTGATAAGTGTGTGATACGAATATTTTGACTTGAGTTCCAAGTGTCCAATAGAACGTTGGCTTAGTGTTGGTGTGTAAAATGAGTCTAGCCCACTAAGCTCTCGCTATGTGCAAGTTTTAAAAAAAAAACGAACCGGATAGGAGTCAAGGCTCCCTTCACTTTACCCTTCTGTTGCGCCAAGGCTCTCTTCACTTTAGTTTAGGTGTCCATGTGAGAAACATGGCAGGTGCAAACTTAGAGAGCTGTGGTTGTATATTGTCATTTAAAATACTTCTGATCCAATCATTTCAAAAGGTTTTACTCATCAGCAATTGACAATAACTAGAGTTTGAGTTGGAATTTAGTTGTTTAAATTCGTTAAAATATAGGAGTAATAGGTTTTCAATTTCAATTTTTTGAACGCTTTGTGAACTTACAATGCAGTTGCTCGAACAGCTTTTTTGCGAGAGCTTAACAAAGCTAAAAATCATACTATATTTGATTCACACTCAAGTTTCTCAACGTTTTGGGACTTTAATGAAGTTACTCGAACAAGTTATGTACACTAGAATTTAACAAAGTTAAAAATCAGATCATACTTGATCCGTTTGCGAATCTACCAATACAACTGACAAGCAATGCCAAAAAATGTATATATCCATATCTGTGTTCCACTATTACTTGAGCCGAGGATCGAAAACAACATCTCTACCTTCTCAAGATAGAGGTAAAGTTTGAAGTGTGTGAGTTCTAAATTTTAAAATAAAACTGCTTTCAGTGGGAATTGAACCCCCATCTTTCCCAGCGAACCCACAACCCTTACCATTGAACAAAGACCATTTTTGTTATTGGGTTCGGCAATATATATTTATATAGATTTAGTAAATATTTCAATACAAATACAGGGTTCCGGAAAAAGTCACTGGGTTCGTCCGAACCCGCACCCACTACTGTAGCTCCGCCCCCATATGACAATGATTATACAAAATCTTACAACCCTCTACATGATAAAACCTTTCAAACTCTTTAAGAACCACCTTACTTGAATTTTTCTTTTAATTATGATGATGCACATATACAATGATACATTTAGATAATGTATGTCTGTATATACACATACGCATTGGCAGGTGCGGATTGACTTGATTAATTAGCTTGTACACAGCAAGCACTCAAGATATCGTTTATATCTGGATCATCCCCTGCTTCTTTATCCTGTGAGAATCAAGCAGATAATTGAAACAAAGAATTAGCGAAGTTTATTTAACCGTAGCCTTGAAAATAATTCTAAGCTACAGTGATGCATATAACTTCTGTAACAAGATCGAGATGATGAAGGAACAGCGATTAACCTTGTGTATGTATGTGATTTTATTTTTAGCAGGACCTGCAACAATAATTCCTCCTTGTCGCCTGACAATACACCAAGCAAATTAAGTCACATCATTCCGGTAAATGGTCTCTAATAATATGATAAAAGGACCTGTTGCAGGCGCTAAAACATGTATTTATAATGCTTTGCAGCATGGCTTAATATGCAGTTACCAGGAAGTTATCACCATTCCATTAGCGCAAAATTCTAAAGATACTAAGAACCAAGAATGTCACTTACCAACTATAAGCTAAAATGATAGAGAGACTATGGCTTATGGTTTACCGTTAGATAAATAGAATAATAAATAAAAAATCATGTTACCTTAAAACCCCTCAGGCGAATTTTACAACAAAAAAAAAAGGAATTGCTTGAATCGGATAATTACACCAAGTTTGATTCCGTGTTTAGGGGTTGACCATTATAACCGTGGAACTTCTGGACACAGTAAATGTAGTTGAATGGGTGAAGCTTCCTTAGGAAATCCGGAGCATCAATTTTCACTTCTTTTGTCTTAAGAAAGAGGAGTCTCCAACTCAATGATGAGTAGACTACGAAAATACAATTAAAATATATTTTACATGTCCTAAAAGCTAACAGATCAGAAGATAAACAGCATCTGCGGAAATTGACATACCAGCCACCTCGTGTCCTGGTGTCCTTCTCAAAAGAAAGCTTCCAATCCTGTCTATAGCCTTCCATATATAATTGTATTATTTTCAGACCTGCCTATACTTGAAGTAAATAAGAACAGATGAGAAAGAACACTACTAGAATACATTAGAAGCTGGAAGTTTTATTTTATGAGCATCTAATTTGCATACCCCGGGTGTGAATGTGGTTGTAACGCCTGACACAAATCTCAGAGCATCATAAGACCTATAGCTTGGATCTGCATAAACTTCTGTAAATAAGAATGAACCTCTGTCAAGGTGTCACCTCTTGAAAAACCGCAGATGCAGAAAATGTTGAAGCAACAACTAGAATATACTTTATCTATTTTGTTTAGCAGACAGAGCATAACATCACTGATTGGAAATGACAATTACACACATTAGATAAAATATGTATCTTATATCCTCACACCGTGTCCTTCTAGCTAGGCTGACGATCTTCTTATAGGGGAAACTGTAACTTAAAGTGCATTGGCAATCGAGCGAGGTCACTGACCCTATGGAGCACATATATCATTGGACATTGCTGGAACCTAGTTCATGGGATGTAAGGACTTCTAGTAACAGCCACTGGTGGACACAAGGTCTTTTATCCAAGACTTACCTCCTTTAAACTTTGTTTGCTCGGAGAATACTTTTGCCTGGAGAAAACAAAAGAAAAGAAGTCACAACTCAATCCAGCTTCTGCACGAGGTTTAAGGAGCTCTTGCAAATCATAAAAGAGCAAGAAACAGATAAGAAGCAAAAAAAGAACAGAATAAGTTGAACTGGGCTGGAAAAAAAAGGTGCTTATAATAAAGAAAATTTTTATTCTTCATACACAAAATGATTATTAAAGATTAAGTTTGAGAAATGTTTTGATAATTTTCAAAGGAAACGAATGAGAAAGTTAAATCATGGATGAGCAACGTAATGCACGAAGCTTCGCTGATATATACCTGATCAACACTACCAGGTCCAATTAAAACAAGTGCAACTCCAGCTGCATCCATTTTATCCTGTGAATATTGTAGAGTATTAAATACGGATATGAATTTTAGTGATGGTAAAACTAAAAGTCTAACTTCAGCAACATATGATGGAAATTCCGGATAAGAAAACTATCAATCTTTATGGTCAGAGTAACTACTTGAGCGTATTGAAGATTAAAAAGGGCAGCCGGGTGCACGAAGCATCTCGCGTTCACAGAGGGTCCGGGGGAAGGGCCACACTATAATGGGGTGTGATGTAGACAACCTACCCTAATGCAAGTATTAGAGACTGATTCCTAGCTCGAACCCCTGACGTATAGGTCACACAGAGACAACTTTATCATTGCTCCAAGGCTCCCTCAACGTATTGTGTTGGAAAATTAATGATATCTCAAAAGGTAATGTCCATCTTGGTTTGGAAAATCTTTTCTTTTTGATAGGAGTAGGTGCTTGCTAGGGCAGGGCACTTAAATATTATTTACATCTACTTATTATTTATTAATAGAGTCAAACTAGCCGTTAACTAGCTGTTAGCTAGTCGTTGGAGCAACACCTATATAAACATGGTCTTTGAAGAGCTAAAGGTACACTTTCTAATATAACTTTCTGAATCATGTTTTCCTTTCCTCCAATATGTTGGGTTTCTTTCTTGGTTTTTCTGCTAGTTCTGTTTCCAGTTTAATAATCGGAAGAGCTTGTTGAATCCTGAGGGATACACGTAATTTTATTCATCACGGTGTGGGCGAAATATCCTTAAGGACAATGTCCTTGACACGCCTCAAGCTAATTCTTATTCTCCATAACCAATTTTTCCAACAATCTTAAGGATGTTTCCACATTCTTTTATTATGGAGAATCAAATTTGACGATGTACAAATTGTTGTTCTAATTCTGAAAATGGGACATGCACTTCACGTTTGCACAATGGTATCATGGAGAATATCACTCTGTATTCAAATTATTTTTGTGGGCTGCAATATGTTAATCAAGTTGTTGTTTCAATTTTGTGCATTATCGCATTATGGAGGATAAATTGCACCACAAAATTAAGGTACGCCTTTTCTAGTATTTGAATGTGCTTAAGCCTACGTAAGTGTAGATTTGTATAGTTATATAATTTAATCAAGGGTACAAAATTATATTTATTTAAGAAACCACTTTATTCTAAAAGCTCTCAAAAAACACTCTTTCATGCTTTCTATTAACATTCATACCTCATTGTAATTTCTTCGAGAACTAATGTGCTCAACTTCAACACAAATTATGTGAATTTGACCGTAGGACTATCTTGCGGTTAATTATTTTATTCTATTTAGATTGATTCTTATTGTTAATTAAGAAAATTATATTGAAAAGTGGTAACCATCTAATAGAAAAAGTGGGTTAATGAATGAATCTCTTCAATAACAAAAATTGATGAAATTTGTGGTGTCAAGTTTGACAAATTTTCAATTGAAGTATTTTCATTTTCTTTGAAATCACATGAACAATATATAGCCAAACCTTTATCAAGACATATTTGCTTTGGAAAAAAATTTCTAGATAAATTTCTATCTTTTGGACGGGTTAATTCTATTCGTGTAATTGGAGATTTGAGTGAAGAAGAATTGGAAAAGCACATAAGATTAAATGGTTTGATTTTTTAATTAATTAATAAATTGCATGCTTACTGGTCCATATGACAATCTTCGGGGTGAAACTATATTATTAGCTTGTTATTTATAAAATGGAACTCCTTATGAGTTGTGAAAAGATTATCTCATTAACCTGAAATTTTCGAAAGTGTGGGGGTCGAAAATGTATTGCCACGGTTATGTAGCCCGATCATAAGGGGAATAATTAGGGAAAAATATTTATTAAAATTATTGTAATGAAGCCTTACAAAATTGAGATTTGTTGCGGCGAAAATTTGTATTGAAAGGTAAAAAATAAGTTGATTTTTTGGCTGTGAAAAATTATCTTGTTTTGGGTCTCTTAGTAATTTGGGTGAAGAAATCATTGAATTATGACCTCTTTCCTACTAATTTGAAATATTTTTGTAGAAGTTAAAGTTGCTTTTATGTTTAGAAAATTTTACCTTGGTATTTGAATTTGGAAGATACCAAAAGAAAATAAATTTTTATATGTGTTGAAAGATGTTTCAAAAGGCACTTATACAAAAGTCAGGTTTTATTTCATTTGAGATGATTTTATGCCTTACTTGAGAAATACTATGAGTTAGTATTTTGTATGTGCATTTTTCACTTTATTAGAATGATACAGTGATAATATTGAATCCCTGATTCAGATGTGAAAAACTCACTAGTGATTGTGTGATCACCTTTTGATGAGGTGTTATGATATTGGAATTGTCTGGCAATGAGGTTGATTAAGCAACCTCTTGGTGAATATTCCACTAGGAATTACGCCGACAACATTTGTGTCGATGAATTGTGATTGCCAAGGCGCAATAGCTATTGTAAGAAAATAAATCTTTCAATGGGAAAGTAGACACATTCTCTTGAGACATAATGTGATAAAGCAATTGCTTAGAGATGAGAATTTTTTATACATATTATGTGTAGTCAAAAAGAGGATTTGGCCGATCCTTTAACTTATAAGTAAAACATAGAGGGGTTGAGACTTTTGCCAATTTGAGATATATCAACAATGATGGTAACCCAACCTATGTGATTAGAGATCCCATGAAGTAGGTTCATATGGGTAATAACAAGTCATTAGTTGATCAAACATGCACTATTAAATTATGTCTCTTCCAATGGCTGTGTGTGTATAGTGCAAGACAGCAAGGAATGTGAGGTTGAGTTATTAAACTCTTAATCTAATAATCCATAGTCTATTGTAGGTGGTGTATTGTGTTGCAGAATACACTTGATGGATGGACCTATATGAGTGTGGAGTGGGGCCGCTCCTATGAAATTACTGGCAAAATTTCTATAGCACTCATGAAAACCAGGCGTACGCATGGCCTATTAGCGCAAAATCGCGATAACAACAGAAATTGTAGGGATGTAATATGATGAATAAGATCCCTAGCTTACAACAAGAATTTTTGGTTCATAGAAGTTATCAACTTCACCAATTATTCTATAAGTTAAATCTTATTTTATATAGCTATATCTGGTTCGTAGTCTTTAAGACACCAGATGAATTTCATTATACCCGAAACCCAACAAATTATCTCTTTTTCTTTCTTTATTTACTATTTATTTTTTATATACCTTTTGAGATATGTGGGGGATTGTTAGAAAATTAGTGATATCTCAAAAGGTAATGTCCATCTTGGTTTGGAAAAACTTTTCTCTTTGAAACATTATTTACATCTACTTATTATTTAGTAAGTTATTTTACAATTAATAGAGTCAAACTAGCGTTATCTAGCCGTTTGAGCAACAACTATATAAACATGGTCTTTGAAGAGCTAAAGATACACTTTCTAATATAACTTTCTGAATCATGTTTTCCTCCTGTATGATGAGTTTCTTTCTTGGTTTTTCTGCTAGTTCTGTTCCCAGTTTAAGAACTGGAAGAGCTTGTTGAATTCTGGTGGATACGCCTAATTTTATTCATCACGGTGTATGCGAAATATCCTTAAGGATAATGTCAACATGCCTCAAGCTAATTCTTATTCTCCATAACCAATTTTTCCAACATATTCAAGATAACAAAATCCAAATAAGAAGCACATAATAATTAGATAATCTGTCAACAACATAGTTTTCATACTATGGCCCACGTAGATTGTGATAAGCGCTGCAACTTATGCAATTCGCATCACTTAACTCACTGGTACCAAACAAGGATGCTAAGACTAGTCATTTGTCTCAAGGACTTCAACAAACAATATTCAATAATGATTTAGAAAAAGGATTATTTTGCAATGTTCTGCAAATATGATCCTGTTCAATGATTAAGTATAAACAACAACTTACTATTAAAGAAGGGCAGTTGGAAAAAGTGAAAGATTTTGCCAGATGAACACTTACAAGAGAGAATGATAACTTTTATGCAGCCAAACAAAAGTATTACCTTCTCAGCTGCAAGATAATCAGCTCTTTTGCGACAAAGGACACATCTGCAATCGGGAACTAGAATAATTAGAAAATAGTTTCATCCACTACATGCTTTTTGATTATCAGTTTTTGGAGGAATGGTGCATAATGCCACAGAAAATTACCCAAAATGACGAGCAAACGCAACAACTGCTTTCCTATCTTTCCACAGATCCGAAATAGGTACACCTTGTCCATTCAGATCAAATACTTGAACATCATCCAACACATTGGTGGTGTCCTCACTCACCACTGTAGACTCTATTCCTATTTCAAAAACCAGCAGTTCCAGCCTTATCAATAATATATAAACATCTTAAGTATCTTTAGTCCAACAAAAACAACAACAACATACACATGTGATCCCACAAGTGGGGTCTGGGAAGGGAGGGGTGTACTTAGACATTACCCCTACCTTGTGTGAGGTTGAGAGACTGTTCCCGATAGATCTTTGGCTCAAGAAAAGCGTATTTAAAACAGGTTTGAAAAAAGTATCTTTAGTCCACAGAATCATTTAAAAACCAGCACTATCAGTAATAACTTACATACCAATGTTTATAGCTTTAAATCACTTTTTTAAAAAAATATATTCTCCAGATTGGAGATATAACCTAGGCATCCTTTTCTATATCTTTTCAGCTCAAGTCAAATATTTCTTGAAATTCAGATCCTCAAACAGCAGCTAGAATCATCATTCACTCATCAATCACTAACTTACCAATTCTGCCTAAGCTAAACCATCATATCACATAATACCAAATGATTTAGACAAAATCCCACAAGCTTATCTGTTAGACTTGGAGACAGCTAACCTGTTGACTCCCAATAGTTTACTAGATCAGCTTAAGCTAAGCTGCGGACCTAAAATAAATTACTCAAAGTTTTCCAATTTTCTGCAACATTAAGTAGTAATATATTCTGATGTATTTGTTATATTAAACAGAATCAATCTTGCACATGATAAATGGGTTGAATAACTCCTACTTTCTAGGGCTTTGCATAATTTGGTAAATACCGAATTACCGTACCGAAACAAAAAAATTTGGTATTCGATATTTTGGTATTTGGTTTAAGTTTAAAAAAAATAATTGGTATTAGGTATGATATTTGGTATTTAAAAAAATAATACCGATACTGTACCGAAATATATAATAAGTAACACAATACACATATTATTGATTATAACATACTAAGTCACATAATATTTTTCTTTGGTATGCATGTTGAGGTTGAAAGTAAAGCCAATGTACTTCTTTAGGAAAATGGAGGATGCCAAGCATCTTAACGTAATACTTTTACGGTTTTAGGGTGTTCTTCTCGTGTATTGAATTGCATTCTGTTGGACTAGTCCTTGTTGTATTCTCTAACTTTAGCAATTAGCTCTAAGCAAGTAACAAGACATTTTCAATGATTAAATTTATTCCTTTATGTACATTTTTCTCTCTATGGGTTGATACTTGTTGGTTTTGGACAAAATTTTTGTCAATAGTCATGTGAGCTTAGAACGTCAATATTTTTATATTTGTGAGTACTTTAATTAAGAATATTACAGCATATGACTTTATGCACTAGTTAATATTGAAACCGAACAAACCGAAGTTATAAACCGAAACCAAAAGGGGAAAACCGAACTATACCAAATATAATTAGGTGCGGTATTGGTATAGCATTTTAAGAAACCGAATACCGAAACGAAATATCTAAATACCGTACCGTACCGACCGACGAACACCCGAATTACTTTCTCCGTTCAATTTATTTGAACTTATTTCCTTTTTAGAACAATATTTCTTTAAAGAGAGCTATTTCCTTTTTAGTGCAGTATTTCTTAAAAGAGAGCCACCGCTTTCTAAATTTGAAAATAATTTGATTTAAACTTCCTATTTTACATTAATGATAAGCTTTTATAGTATGTTAAGAGCACAAGTTTCAAAAATCTTATAACTACACATAAGTTTCAAAAATCTTTCTCATAGGTTCACATGAATGATCAATAAATAAAAGTGTACTTTCTAATTCACGTAATAACATAATTGTAAGACGAAATTGACAAGCTTATTAACCTGTGGAGTTGGAGATAGCAGATGACCTGTAGGAGGCAGAAATGGCTGAAAAAGTGGGTGTTAAGTAGAGAGGAGAGCTGAGATTGCAGTTAAAACTTAAATTAACATTGTGAATTGGGAGGCGATGAAAACTTCTTTTAATTCCAATGGTGAGGCCACAGTTGTGTGCAGGGGCTGATACAGAAATCGCCATGGCGTTGGCGAAGCAGAGATTTTTCAATGGAAATAATATAATAATGCGAAATAAAAGAGTTGCCTCTGGAAGAAAAGCTTACACGTGGTCAAATTCATCTCTCCAAAAAATGAGAGCCTTCAAAGTAGAATTGTTTTTACTTACTAGTATTTATTAAGTTTTAATTTCTATATTAAAAACTTATACAATTAAGTTAAAAGGTAATGCCAAGTAATTTTTGATAATAAATACGTATTGATTAGCAATTTAAAGTAAATATTGAAGTAAATAATTTGCGGTATATGTAACTTGTGGAGTAAATATTGTAATAGTATTTATTCGCTCAGTCAATCATCATAAACTTATAATGTGTAATAAAAGGTGTGAGCACTTAATTTTTTACCGTGTTTGAATATTTTCCGCTCCCGTCTTTCCGCGCGTGTCCCCACCATACCGGTCCCCCATGTCTTGTCCCCCCCTTATTTTTGTCCCCCATGTCTTGTCCCCCCATTATTGTTTGTCCCCCATGCCTTGTCCCCCACGTCTAAACCCCCCATTATTCTTGTCCCCATGCTTTGTCCCCCCATTACTTTTTGTCCCCCCATGCTTGTCCCCCTCCCACATGCATAAAATCAGTCCAAATCCACCCAAAAA